TAAAATATATGCTTGTCTTAATTTTTAGTTGGTTACCCATCTATAAAAAATGTCATATTTGTCTTAATTATATATAGGTTGATGTGTACTTATGAAGGAAAATATTGAACATGCTTTTGTAGTGAGTAATGTTATATGATAAATTATATAATATTTTTTGTTTTAAAATAATCACCATTTTCAACTTTTTCTTTAAATTAAAGATTTGAGATAATTCATATATTTATTTGTATTACCTTTAAGAAAAAGTTAAAAGATAAAATAAGATTTTTTATGATAAGATAATTAATCAAAATAAATAGATAATAATAGAATTAAAATTTCCTCAAAAAAATAATAGAATTAAAATAAAAAATATATTTGGATATCCTAAAAAATAATAAGATGACAATTAATTTAAAACAAACTCAAAATTAAATATTAACAATTATTTGAAACGGAGTGAGTAGAAAATAACCTTCTCTGTTTCTTATTGTATGTTTGGGTTGAGGTGAATGAATAGAAGAGAAGAAAATTTTTTAACCATTCAAATTATAACGCTTTTTTTCCTTCTCACACATGTCATCTTTCAAATTCAAAATATTCAACTTAAAATTTTAAGTTCTTAATTACTTAAAATACCTTCTTAAAAGCATAATATAATCTTATAATTTTTCTATAACAGTAATTATATTTAATTATTTTACTCAATTAAACTTAAAATAATCAACAGTCCTTTATATCAGACAATATAATCTCATAATTTCATGTAACAGTAATTATATTTATTTATTTTTACTCAATAAAACCTGTGAATAGGTATATCTAGTCCTTTAATATTATGTGATTATGATAAGATTATATTAATTCTGAGATAAAATGATACTAATTTTATATAGGCTTTTTCTTAAAGATTGGATATGAGCATGTGGGGGTTTCAATGCACCTCGAATCTTCCAATTTTGTTGTAGAACTAGGAATATTTGATCAAGAGAATAATCTTTTACTCTTCAGCCACAGGCTGCCATGGAGATCGACCTCATGAGTCAAGCCCCCTCCTCGTCTACATGGTTGTTGGACTTTGAATTCCACTTAAAATAACCCAGACCATCACGCTAACAACCAGGATTAGTTGGATGGTCTGGTTTTTTCCAGAAGAAAGAAAGTTCATCAGCAAATCACGGGAAAATGGAGTACCATAAATACAGAATATTAAAAAAAAGGAAAATATCAACGAAATACCACCTTTAGAAGAAAGAAAATATAATTTTTAATTATATTATGATATAGTTATAATATCATATAAAATTATAAATTTATAATTATAATGTATTTTTAAATAAATTTAAATATATAATATTACAAGTGAATTCTTAAAAAAAATAAATTATATAAAAATATATCATATTGTAAAAATATTACGTAACATTATACTCGATCATTATGTGTTTCTATTTTTCCTCCCATAACTAACGTCAGCCGCCATAGAATCCAATTTGCTTTCAAATTGAACAAATCCTAAAATTTGGGGAAAATATGATCTCCTAAGAATCAAACTACTAACTTGGTTCAAACCCATGCACCAAAGACCTTTTTCTTTTTGGTAATCAACTCGGATTTTTTTTCTCCTAAAGTGATTCCAGGATTGAATGGGTTAAAATGATGTTTTACTTCTTCATTTTCTCCTTGCAGAGTTGTAGAGTTGTTTAGGGTATATTTGGATAAAAATTAGTAAAGAAAATGAAAGAGGAGAGGGGGAGGGAAGGGAGAAAAAGGGAAGGGAAGAAAAAGATGAGTATTAAACGTGTTTAGATAGATAAAAATAGAAAAGA